AAAGGGTTGTCAGGCTCTGGAATGGGCTGCCCAGGGAGGTGGTCGAGTCCCCATCCCTGGAGGTATTTAAAAGAAGGACAGATGAGGTGCTTAGGGACATGGTTTAGTGGTGGGATGTCAGGGTTAGGTTAAAGGTTGGACTCGATGATCTCAAAGGTCTTTTCCAACCAAAGCGATTTTATGATTCTGTAACTGGATATGCTCCCTTTAGAAGGAAATTGCATAGTGTATGTTGCACTTAATGCTGCTGCCTTGTTTTCTTTTGGGATACATGTAGTTCACTTTACAGCCCAGTGATTATTTTTGTTCATAAAGTCTCACAAAGGGTTCTGGTTTAGGTTCAGAAATTCATCATTGTACAGTAGGGTCTGTATAGAATGCTGAGTGCTACGTGTGTTGGCATTAAATGTTTGCCTTTAGGTAGACAAGCTTAGATGGAGGAAGGGAGATAACTCATGACTGTAGGCAGGATTGTCTTCCTAATTAATTGGCATCTCTATGAATTCCTTTACTGTTGTGTTGAAGGTGAATAGGAAAGAGGAAAGGGGTGAGTGGAGCAGGAGGCAAGGGTCAGAGGAGAAGAAAAAGAGCATGTTCCTTCACAAAAAGTGTTGCAGCTTGTCTCTATCCCTTCCCCTTGATATAAGTAAGTCCCTTTGATAAATAGGGTTAAAAGTAAGTTTTGTTTTTTTAATTCTACTTACTGATACATATTCTGTATTGCTGATAGTGTAGAAATGTATACTTCTCCAACAAAATTTAAACTAAAAATTCACCTTCATTTATTTCCAGGATATGTAGGTTCATTGTCTTGTGTGAGGCTTTTGCCAAATACAAGCTGCCATACAATATCAGAGCACTCTATTATTTCAGTTCAAAAGAAATAAAAATTAAAGCTCACAGAACAAGACAAACCTGTATTAAAAACTCTGTAAAATTGTACCTCCAGATTAACATGACACTAAAATTCAGCTGCTCAGGCATTTCATCTCATGTAGATGTATCTACAGTCAACTTAAAAAGCTTTAGTAACATTTGAATTTGCATACAAGCCCTGTATTTCTAGTGCCTGCTCAGGCTGAGTCACAAAAGTTTCATAGATATGTTACTGTTGTACTTTCTTGTTCAGTAAATGGCAAAAGTATACTTGATCTTGGTTAAGAGGTGCTGAAGCTGAACCTTTTGACTTCATGTTTTTGTTGTGGTTTTTTTTTTTATTTTAGATAGAAAAGCTTTGAGTTCTCATCAATGCGCTGTTTAATATCTTCTGCTTCATTCGTTTTATGTATGATTTTTACCTTGAAAATTGAAATCTGTTCTAACTTTCCAGTGGAGCATTTGTGGATTTCCGTATGTGCCTGAATATATTCTTGAGTTGTGGTTACTGAAGCAAATCTTCATTAAATCAAATGGCGGGTCAGCCTGGAAAGCTTTTACATTCAAGTTTGAGTTCTTCAAAAGAAAGGAATTAACTGTAGAAAACTGAAATAGCAAAGATCTTTATATATCATTGCATCAGTGATGCAAGGTGAACTGAACCACCTCTTGACCTAGGTTTTGTGAAGTGGAAGGTTTGTTTCAGCTAGGTTGTGAGTGTGCCAAGCTTTGTAGTCTTTCTTGGCTGCTTCTTCAAAGCCTTTTACAATTCACTGCCAAATCAGGGTTGACATTAGTTCTGTCATCTGGCCTACATTATAAGCACTGCAGTCTGCTTGCTGTATCTCAGCTTATGGAAGATCTACTGAGGATGGGCTTATCTCAGTTAATCTATCGACTGAAGAAGCTGGTTGACCAAGTAAAGGCTGAATAATCACGATGGCTGTCCACAGCTGCTGGAGAGTGGAAAGAGGCTATGGTACAGAGTAAATGAGTGCTGTAGCTGAAGTGTTTTTTTCATTTCTACGTGCAATGCCTTGGTAGCCAAGTTCACTATTGCTATGAATGAGTTTCATCATTGTAAAATATACTTTGTATCAACAGGTAACGTGCCAGATCTGGCTTAAGGGAGCTGGTAACAACAGGGACTGGTGGGTAGGATTGGAGGTACAGGATGAGGACCGCAGAAGGGATCTGGAAACTCTGCTCTGTCACTCCAAAGTTGGCTTGCTTGTGTTGGTTTTATCTTGGAAAGGAGAATTTGGCTAGCACTTGCTTATTTACACACTTGCTTCTGGTGTGGTCTCCTTTATCAAGGTGGACAAATTGCTTTAGAGTGCAACTCCTATGAAATAGCTGCTGTGTTTTGTGAAAGGTAAATGAGCTCAAAGTGTAGAGGAGGCTAACAGTTCAACTCTTAGCTGCTGATTTTGGCCAGCAGGGTCACTGCGTGTTGTGTTTCACACTACACAAAACTTCAGGTTGTGTTCCTGAAGTCTGTGGTTTCCCCATCTCATCAGAACAGCAATACAGGAACCTCTAAGAGTCAAAAAACCAACTTGACTTGATGCAGACTTAGACAGGGCCTTTTTCTTTACAGAAAAAATTAATTGATTCTGTGAATGTGCTGACAGTGACTGATCTGCAACTGTCCCCTTCTCCCTTCCTCTCCCACCCCCAATAATGTTCTCTTGCCTTTGGGCAAGAGAGTGGGCAATCTGGAGTGATAATTGGTTAAAATAGGGACTTACTTTGACTTCAGACTTGAAATTAATATCTGAACTCTTCTATTGCCCTAATAATTTTGTTCTAATCTTTTCTAAGATACCATTGTTGTTTAGTTACGTTCATGAAAGTCTGGTGACCCTCTTTCTTAATTTTTTCTTCCTTTATTTTTTTTTTTTTTTTCTTTGTACAGGAAATTAAAAATTTAAATGGAGGCTGGCCAGGAAAATAAACTGTGATGTTGTCCATGTGTTATTCTTGGTCAGTAGCATTGCCTACAAGCCAACAAAGATTGAGAAATAGATTTAAAAGCTTTGAATCATTAAGACATTAAGAAAATGGGATTTCTTATGTGGAGTTACGAAATTAGATTGATTAAAACAACCTGCCTTCTGAGAAATGCCATGCAGGCTTGTGTCCTAAACAGACACAAGTCTCTGGGTGGTACAAGAGCATGACATAGTGGTTGTCAATTCCTTTACTATATGTTAGTAGCCTGAAGCTTGTTGACTACATGTATGTATGTGTGTACGTACACACATAAAATATCTATGTGTGTATATATATGCATATGCACATATCACCTCTACTAGATGAGAGAAAACACATGTATTCTGAAGAAATCATCATTTATGTGATGAATGAAAGTGCAATCCTGTAAAATACATATTTTTCTATGCAAGTTTGGGATTAGTGAAGGCTGAGTATTTTGCTATTCTTTTCCAGTCATCACATTTTCTATGTAATATTTAATTTCTCTTTCCAGGGATGAATATTGTAACTGGTATTTTGTATTTCTGTAACTTGGCACTTGTCTCTTTTATAGGATGATTACAGAGTCTGCATGGATTTTAATATTATTCAGAAAGATTCTGTACCTGTTTGTCCGGTTGATGCGTCGGGCTGCTTCACAGCAGAAGTGACTGACTTTGCTGGACAGTATGTGAAGGTGAGTGGTCTTGGAGAAAGTAAATTACTACTTTATTCAAGAAAAGTTAAAAAATTCAAAAGTTTAAAAATTTTATACGTGGTAAAAGTGTCTAAGTGGCTTTGTCTTCCATGTGTCTTTGGTATCTGGAAAAATCAAAATGTGTTTTAACATTTGCAAAAATGTTGCGATATCTGAACTATTACAATATCTGAAAAATAAAGAATTTGAAGCCTACTAGATACTGTGTATCTAGTAGTGAAAGGGATGAGGATATCTCCTGTTTGCATCTACTGCAGAGAGAGTCTTACTGTTCCCTTGTTTCTTATGGGAATGATATGTATGCAGTGTGCAGAGGTCTCCTTTACATCTGAATGACCTCTGAATTCACAGATGTTGTCATTAAGTTTATACCAGCCAGTTAGTGTAACATGACTTGTTAGAGGAGAGAAATCCAGTCATTTTCCCCACTTGTGGGATGTGTTGCAATGTGAATTTACTTGCCGGTAGATGCAAAAGAATCCATGTAAAAGGAACTCGCAGGAG